GAAAATATATGAATAATTAAATACAAAAATATAAAAACAAATGCCAACACAGCATTGACAAAAAGCGATTCTTTCTACTTACAAAACCTTTATTCCAAAGTTTTTAGACAAGGTATTTCATACCTAGACCTATATCTATCTATCTATCTATCTATATCTATCTATATCTATCTATCTATCTATCTATCTATCTATCTATCTATATATATATATATATATATATATATATATATATATGTGTGTGTGTGTGTGTGTGTGTGTGTGTATTTTTAAGCGTTTTGCCCCAGCAAGGCCGGAAGTCACTAGCGCGCAAGGGGTTACAGAGGATTTGGAGCAAGAGCAAATAGGGGTGATAGAGGAAAGGATCAAGAGAAGGATAGGGGATAGATCAGAGCATTTGGAGACGTCGATTGAATAGTTGGAGATTATAACTATCAGGGAAACAGGAAAAGGGGAAGGAGTTCCACAGGCGAGAAGTGCGAGATATGAAGCTATTAGAGTAGAAGAGACGGCTACATTTAACAGTTTCGACAGTGAAAGAGTGTGAGCGAGATGCCAGCCTAGTAGAAAGCTTAAATTCATGAAATTTGGGAACCAGCGAAAGCAGATTCTCGGAGCATTACCATGAAAGTATTTGTAAAAAAAGACAGAGGAAAGCAACAGCACGTCTGTGAGAAAGCGACTGCAGACTAGATGCCAGATCAGGGCCAATTACGTTGCATATCCGTCTCTGGATATCAAGAACCTTGAGACAAACATAAGGGGCACCAGACTATATATGACATCTATACTCCATGCAAGGGCGAATAGTTGATTTGCAAACTTTAAGGATCGACTCCGGTGAAAAAAAATTTCCTGGCGCGGCACAGCGAGCCAACTTTCCTTGCGGTGGATGAAGCTATTGACTCAATGTATTTGTTCCATCTCAGGTCAGCAGTCAATATGAGGCCGAGTAGTCGCAAAGAGAAGCTCTCGAGAATTTGAGCGTCAGACATTCTAATGGGGGTAGGGATGGTTCTCTGTGGTGACTAATAGAGAGCAGTTTTGTTTTTGAGGCATTAAAGTTAACCAGACAATTCCTGCCCCAGTCTACAACCAATTGGAGTTCTTTTTCGAAACGAACGGCCAAGTTAGTTTTGTCAACGACACTAAATTTGTTTTTTTTAGGCAGGAGTAAATTGTAGTGTCGTCCGCGTAGATGCCTACTTGAGAATCTATGATGTCAGGAAAATCGTTGATGAAGATAAGGCACAGAGTAGGGCCTAGGATAGAGCCTTGGGGAACACCTGCGTTCGTGGGATAGGAGCTGGAGAAGAATCCGTTGAGAAAGACCTTCAATACACGGTTTGACAGGAATGACTGTATTAAGTCAAACAATCGACCTGAAATTCAATAACCCTGAAGCTTGCGAAGAAGGTCAGCATGCCAAACCCTATCAAACGCTTTGGAGATATCTAGAGTCACGGCACGAACTTCTCTGTTATTATAAAGAACTTGGTAAACAATTTCAGTGATTGCCGTAAGCACATTACAGCAAGAAACCAATGTTGTCTCATGTGGGTATAGTCTATTGCATATTGCCATAACAATGCCAATCTTGGAGATTGGCATTGTTATGCCGATCTGAAAGAGACAATACCCACATGAGGTATTTTTTATTTTTGCTTTAAAAATATATATGCTCTGTTATAATAATAATAAATACATTGAGCTCTCTGGATCATTTTTAAAATTTGATAGCATTAGGATCCACCTGGCTTATATACCAACGGGTCTAGTACTATATATATATATATATATATATATATATATATATATATATATATGACGATCCGCTTAGGTGAAACCTAGGTAGGTTTGTCAGGCTCTCTAGGTTTAACTAGGTCTGCTCTACTTACTGTATTGAGCACTTTACTTAGTTATTTTGCCTAATCGTTTCGGGTTTTTTCTTTGGCCCTTGAACTCGTATTCTAGACGATTATTTTCGGCTAACGTACATGTTCATGGCTCTTTCTTTTTTATACCTTTTTTTTCCGTTTGGTATTGGTTTGATTATTTGCAAATCAAGACACCGAAGGTTTTCCGAACGAGTATAATTTCTTATACATATAAGATTATTGCTCCTATTAATATATATATATTCAGTTATTGGTGAGTATTACTTTATGTGTACAACATTGACGCAGGTGTATGGCTTTTTTCTAAAGTATATTTTGAAAAATGATATATAACATTGCGTATATTTTCTTGATGAATGACAAAGTGGAAAAATTCTCTTTAACGTCTTTTGTTTTCTAGACTTGTTACACTCTATAATTTAATGACTTACATTTATATATATATATATATATATATATTATCATCATCACCTTTTGTAATCATAGGGTGGATCCGAAAGCAGAAGCCACACTAACACTTTTCCACAACGGTCTAACAACACCAGCCATCAGCAATTCTGGTATAGTCATACCTGATCATTTTTTCACGTTGTCCAACCAGT